AGATGTTCAATGAGCACAGAGAAACTTTCCACTTTCAGCAGATGAATGTGAAAACATCCTTCTAGAGTCAAACTCTGCACAGACAGCATTAGACAGCACACTGTAGGAACTAGAGGAAACACTGATTAAAGAGTGGAGGGGGACTTTAAGTAAAACCACAGAAGTATATCAGTGTTATCAGCAAAATAGAAGAAATGCCCTTGTGATGATATTTTATATGACATTAACAGATGGCTGTAGATGGTGACCTAACTACTCTGTACACTGTTAGGGAGTAAAGTCCAGTGGTTCCCAACCTAACAGTTAGTCTTCAAAGGGTCACAAATTAAATCTGAGGGCTCCAGAGATGGGTAATGGGAGAGAAGAGAGGGAAAGAAGTTCTGCTACACTAGTTTATATCCATTCTTGTGGCAGGTCTTTGAGAGTATGAAAGGGGAAATGTCACTTCGGTAGTGTAAAATCTTTATTGTAAAAGCTGTTAAATACATGTTGTGGAGGGTGTAGTACGGTTTCCCTCCGAGCTGTAGTGCAGTAAAAGCACTAGTAATGTACAAGTACCTCCAAATTGTACTGCAGTAGGTAACTTTATACTGACGCTTTGGGTCGGTGGCTTGAAGGTTTTATGCACTTTTTTTATAGTTGATTGATGAGTCTCATTCTCAGGATCTGGGACCTATCTTTCTCGGCTGATTGGTTGTTTTCGTTCAGGCCCGGTGGATTCTTGCAAATACCATTAGGAGCTCTAAGAGGAGCCAGAGCAACCTGATTTGTTCACAGATTATCTGTCTCATGTTCTACTGTCAGGATGTAGTAGACAGCAAATACCACAAAAAGTTGATATAAGTTCCCAACTGCAGCTTTACAACAGTACTTGAGTAAATATATTTACTTTCCACCACTGTGTGCAACGGAAGTGCCCATGAGCAAGGCTCTGAATCGCCATCTTCAGGGACCGATGCTAGCTTTGTCTTCGGGGGGAACGGACTGTTGACTGTTTTTTGTTAGTACACAACATACAAATCAAGACACAATAAATTGAACAAGTCTTTTTATTCCAAAATGTTTAGGGTAAAAGAAACTGTAAAAGAAACAACATAACCATCCAAGCAGAGGGGAATGAACAAAGGGAAAGAGAAAAAATAACATACACACTATTATCCTCAGCCATGTTTCTACCACACAGCTCCCACTCGGGACCAAGCAGGAGACCACCTGCCCTTCTGCTCTGAGAAAATAACCCAGGCTCTGTAAATGAAAGCTGAAAGAGGAAAAAATAGGGCTTTTCTAAATTGTCTGTCCAAATCAACTGTGTTGGTAGTCAAATGTTTGCAAACAAATCATACCGATTCTCCTCTGCTCTGCTGTTTGGGCCTTTCTTCAGAACCAGCCACAAATGACCTCTGAGTGACATAAATGCTTGTTAAAGTGAAACGGAGCCGCTATGGGATAACAGCGGAGCATTACAAGCTGTCTAATGGCCCAAATGGGATCAAATGTTAAAGTAAATCATGTAGAATGCAATAAGGCACTTGCTAGGCAGATCCAACTGAACAGATTCTAAACACAAAGGTCAAATTAACAGAACCTTTATTTTACAATCAGCAAAAACAGTGTGGCCACCCTGCAATTAAACAATGATGTGTGAATGAGCTGTACACAGATTATCATACACTTTCAACACACTTTAAAAGGTGAACAAATGGTGCATTTACAACCTAAAAGGCAGGCGTTTTAATGTTTGATAAAACATACTGTAAGAGCAGGAATGATTTCTGATGCAAAAACCTAAACGGCAAGCAGGGTGAATATCTGCAGTCCAACTAAGTGCTGCCTCCTACAGCCTATGAGAAGTAGCTGCACATTGAGTTTACAACCATTATTTGGAATATCCTGATAAAATAACATCAGTAACAATTATGTTTAGGAAGTGTTTTTTATGTATTATAACTAGTTTGACGACTCTTAAAGTAAGTATACAAGTCTTACAAATACTAAATGTTTATATAAAAAAAAAGGAGTGACATACAGAAGAAAACATGGGGAGAAGAAATCTGATCAATTTACAGGACAGAGCTGTACACATGGACGGCTGCCAAACATTTCCGATTCTACAGGGGAATTCTATTCAGCCTGGAGGACCTTCGCAAATATTTGTTACTTTTGAAAAATGTTGTTTCTTATCCTTTAATCTTGTTTGTATCCTTCCGAAACCATCATTAGAATGATTTGTGAAAACAAGGCCAGACGGAAAAAGTATAATGAGATATGCTTTTCATCCTGAATACTTCAAACGCAGGAACAAATTCTATTAACTTTCGGCGAAACAATTCGACGTGTTGATCCTCTTCAAAGCACTGACAGAGATCTGGCCTGGCAAGGTTGTTGTCTCCAACCTATTAAGAAATAACTGAAAGGAAATATGCAACCAACATAAAATGGCTTTGGGTGTTACATACTTCTGGTTGCCGGGATTAGCGCGGTTGTTTAAAAGAACTGAACTGAGGACAGCGTAATCCTGCAGCGTCTGAATTCCAAGTTGGCTCTAGCGAGGATGCTGGTCTGTATGTAAGAAAAACAAAACGTGTCCAAGCCTGCTGTTTGCTCTTAAGGCCAAGATACAAGGCGACATTTTGGGGCGAAACATGTCTTCTTTTAGCGTACTTCTGAAGAAGCCTCTGCGTCACAACTTGCTCAGTATCCCAAAAACATAACATGTCTGACTGACAGGTCAGTGGAACACAGGTGGAACAAAAGAAACAGCCACGTTTGGTCTTGTGGACCGCTCGGTTGAACATTCTTTGAGTCTTATGCACATTTGGGTGAAGTGACATCAAAGGGGTGTCAGGTATGATGTGACTGGGAGACAGGGACGCCCAGAAATCTGGGGCTCTCTGGCTGTCGCTTCGAAGAAAAGGATGAGAGACAACCAGGATGCCTCTTGGGAAGGAAAAAGCAGCAGTAACAAGGGTCTGGAATAATCTACAGAGAACCTCTGAGTCGTCCAGATCATTATTGTCTTGCACTGAAGGTCTGTCCAGGAAAAAAAATTAACAAAAAAAAGGTTTCTATTTCCTAACTTGACACTTCACTGGTGCAGACAGAGCGGGGGGAGGAATGGGAACAAATGGAACAAGGGGAGAAGGAGCTGAATTTAGGGTTGTGTGGAGGGACAGGTGGGCTGCAGGGAACCTTCTTTCTCGAACCAAGTGAGAGGTTTCAAACTCAGTCATTCAGGAGCTCTCATCTTCATCTCCAACCAACAGTGCACCCCATCCTCCAGCTCCAACTGTCCTTGTTGCTTTCTCCTCTAAAACATTCACGGACTCCTAACAAAAAATGGACTCATGATCTGAAGAAACGATTCTTCTGCACCACGCTTTAAATGAAGGTCTAGTGGCTGACGAGGCCCTGCAGCATCATCATCAGGCGCCGCGCCCTCTTGCTGAGCGGGCTGTGGGGTTCCTGCTGCAGGAAGGCAAAGAGCTTCGGTCTGACCTGGGCCAGGACGGACGACATGTGGTCTCTTGTCAGCGGGTCGCCGTGGTCCAGATTCATCACTGCGTCCTCCAGGTAGCTGGACAGGGACACAGAGGGACAGGAGACATCAGGTAATGAAGACAAAAGACGACATAAGTTTCCAGTCAGGCACATAGTATGAACATTAGGCAAGAGCAGGAAAGAAATCGTTAAGCTGAGAAGTGCAGTCTTTAGCCGCGAGGCAGAGACAGGCTAAAGAAAAAAAACAAGATAACACAAAATGACGTGACATAAAAGTTTCACATCTACAATCTGAAACTTCATTCAATGGGCTATAAAAGCACTACAAGGATAACTTGCATAGAATGTTTTGTCCCTTGGAGCAGCTGCAGGGGACCGAGACAAAGGCCCGGTTCTGCCAATGTCTCAGCTATCTCTCACAGTTTGAATGTCAAACGCTGTCCTTGATCACCTTCATGGCTGCCAGCCCATTGTGTGAATGTGTACCTTGTGTTTTCACTCAAATATCACAGCAGAAATTGAGTTGTGCCACTGTCACCTGTGTCCTGTCCTGTTACTCAGACTACACTACATTTAACTCCTCAATTAATTGTTTTAGTCAGACATCTGGTGGTCAGACTGTCCAGCAGTGCTCTATTTCTGTTCTGCTCCCCCACCCTCACTGTCTTTACAGTTTAAATGACCATTCATCTCCACATCCGGAGCACTACCTGATCCCAGTCTAACATTAGTGCTCAACCCACACCGCCAGCTGGTGTCCAGCCACAGTTCTCCACGACACACATCACAGATCCCCATAACACTGCTAACACACTCTTTAAAAAGGGACATTTAAAGTCACCGTGCCAAACACCACAGATACCGACTAGCTAGTTAAAGTTTTGCAGGAGATAATCTGCTGGCTAAACGGTGTCCAGCTCTTTCAAACACACATAAAGTTGCTGTTTGTGGCCCCTCAGTTCACATTATTCTCACATCTGTTTGAACATCAATGTGTTCTTTAAATCCAGCTTTTAACAATCCTCTCTGTTCCCAACAATGCTAAAGTTGCTTTTGTTTCTCTTTGGGAAATCTTTCATGGATTCTTCTAAGATACTACCAATCAGAACTTAACTCCTTTATCTTGTGCAAAGCCCCCAAAAACATACTGTACAACTTCTGCGATTTTTGTCTTATTCCAATATTAATTGACTTCTATTTATTCATGAGAGCACAGTTTTCCTGCATGGCTACAGTAAAATTAGCCATGAAAGAAAGCACCAGTGAGAAGATGTTAAGAAGTTTTGTGATTTATCTTGTTTTGATTTTATCTACTGAACTCCCTGCCACCACAAACCCATCCAACCATGACTGTGCTCTGTCCTAATAATGCCTCAGACTGAACCACGCCCTACTGCCCTCATCTCTCTCTCTTACTCTCCAGATGGCACAGGGCGGAGTAACAGGCAGCTGCAATGTAAACACGCAACCACACAGGTGATCCAGACGCAGGGCGGTGCTGTAAAGGGACTCTGATACAGAAATAGGTTTTCTGGGGGAGAAAAGAACGAGAGAAGTGATGCAGAGATTCATAAAAGAAAAGGACATAAAGTGAGTGAGGCCAGGGCTGGCTGAGAAGACACATTCACACATCTTGAGAACAGCACAACATGACACTTTGTAGTTGAAAGAACAGGAAAAAAAAAAACATACGGGGGTGCAATGGTGGAAGACAAAAAAAATAAAAAATCCAGGACATAGGAAGGACGTAGAAAGAACAGAACAACAGAGAGCATAAAAAAATTCCAAAGGTATTCACAGGATCGCACCAATCCCTGGGCAGCCATAGCAGAGCTACAGACAGAGCAGAGTGATGGGGTCAGCAGTTTAGCACCATTTAGCACTCTGGAGACAAGGAATAATGGACATACAATGGAGATGAGATGGGGAGCAAAAGTTTAGGCAAAGGCTGGCTTTTATTACTGATCGACAGAAGCACAGGATCCAGCTTGTGTGGGAGAGAAGGTGTGTAATGCAATTCAAAACGTGTTCACTGCTATCGCTGTGTAAGAAAATGAACTTCAAATTAAGACATTTTGGGAAGAAATAAGCTTATACAGTTCACAGGTTTTTGATTAAACCCAATGACATTTTCCAAATTGGCATATTATGCCTGCTGCGTTGCAAGACAGGTCTTACATCAAACTACAGTGGTGTGACATGATATTCTGTAAGCAATATGAAAAGTACACAGGTGAGAACAGGGTTCCTGCGCATCCCGCAAAACCTGGAAATTGATTTTTTAAAAATCAAGTATCTTGGAAATAATCTGTTGCTCTGGAATATTTTGCACTGTAGCCCCTCACTCAGGTCGCCTGGTGGTTTGAAACTTGACTGTTGGTTTAATAGATGCAACGTGGAACTGAAAAAAATGCAGCTTATATGACAATGTAATGTAAAATGTAAAGGTCCTGGGAAATGATTTGTTAAAAAGACTGGGGACCCTAGTATATTGATTCCCAAATATTGGGAATGATCAATATTTGAAATTATTTCTAATTGCAAAAAACTGTATAAGAGATATTGAAGATTGTCAATAGCTCAGTTATTGTTCCAAGCTGTGAAGTGAGACTACTTAAACTATACGGAGCGTGCATACAGTAAAATCACACAGTGGTGCATCTGTTAAGGATCTGTCATTATGTGAAGGGCAGAATGTGCCTGAGAGGGTGGATCTGTGTCCTTCATAATCCATAATTATAACTGGGTTCACAAACATGACAGCACATTGTGTGTTTTTATAATATGGCTGCAGCCACACAAACATTTCTTGTAGTTGAGTTTGGCTGGTTTGATGCTAAGCAACGGTTTCACTCCATATCACTGCCATTGTATTCATTTCCCACTGCAAAGGTAGAGAAGCTTTCTGTTTACTAACATTCATTTTTCCCCCCGGATATCTCAGACATTGTTATTGTCATGAAAGCTCATGTGAGAAAAAAAAAGCGCTACACTGTGAAGCCCACACTGTCTGTTGTGTTTTGACTTTTAGTGCGTTCATCTAGACAATGAACCCACACTGAATGTTTACTGACCCTTGAGGTACAGATCTCTGTATAATGTTTAAGCAGGGAATAGGGTTATTATGGAAGCAAGTTAGTGATAAAGAGGATCACAAACTGTACCAAAAGCTGTCATAGGAAATAACCTTGGCAGTGACACTGCTCTGAACTCTGGTAGTGACAATTACCAGATTACCAGACAAGTCTGACGCAGTGCCTTCATCTGAGAGGAGGCTGAAAGAACTGAGTGAGATCCTCTATTTGGAGAAGTTTAGAATCAAGATTGCAGGAAGGAAGAGAGTGTTTGATAAGGCACAGGGACCAGTGTGGAGCCATTTAGGGGTCTGAGGGAGGGTGAAGGTGTGGGATGAATAATTGACGATATTAATCTTGTAACAGTGGTTTGCGCTTTAGTTTCCTGACATGTCGCCATTTAGCAGATAATTATAACTGTATGTTCTTTCATGCCGCTGCACTGTTATTGAAAGAAAATGGAGAAATAAGATTGCTTCTATGTACCAGTGTGGATTGTATCAACAATAACCTGTAATGAAATTATTCTTAAAATAAAATGAAGTAACCTTGGTTTCCTCACCTGATTTTAAGCTCAGAGCGGGTTGTAAGGTTGGAGGAGAGCTGCTGGATGAGCGACAGCAGCACGGGCTGGCTGAGAGGGCAGGGGTGCTGACCAAACACCTGCTGAGAGTCGATGGTCTCACACACATACAGAACCAAGTTCAGATCTGTCGCTGACAGCGCCTGGGGGACAGTGAGAGACAATTTATTCAAATTAAACCATTTTTTTCATAAATCTTTTTCCCTGCAATAAATCTAGAAAAATATTCCTGTACAGCTGCAGTGCCCGCCCCCTAAGGAAAGGAGCAGTCAACCAAAGCAAGAAAGGGTTTGCCACTAGCGACTTCCTCCATAGTAGTTGTGTTACTTCTAAAACTAGTCATATTTTTGTAATGCATTTATTCTGTCACAACAATCTGCTAAGTATGAAAGCAAGTCAGAGATTCTAATAAAAGTATTAGCTTAGACAGAATATTCTGATGTTTTTTAAGCGTCAATCCAAAAGTCCATGGGTTAGCAACTGAACTCTTTACACATAAAGATGATGAGACTGAAGAAGAGGTGCAGAGGCTGCAAAATGTACAGTGCTACAACTCTGTGTGTGTCTTACCTGCTGAAAGGCCTGGTTGAGCTGGCCCTGCTGGAGGAGCTGCAGGATGTTGGCCTGCTGTGTCTGGTAGTCGAGGTGTGCTGTGGGGACGGGCGTGCCGGCCGCTGACCTCATTGCCTGCATGATGCTGGAGGTGACCACTGCCTGCTGCTCCTTCATTGCCAGGCTCACCTCCCCTTTGACAATTCGCTGCACATGGCTAAGAATAGACTCTTGCAAACTGGGGAGGGTAAGGACAGAAGAAACGTGAGGACAGAAAGAGGGTTTATCCTCCGTATTACATGTACTTTCAACCACTATGCTGCACTGTAGCAGGCTGGCAAGAAACATTAGTTTTAGGAAGAATGACCTCAGCCAATGACTTTTTGGGTTTGTAGTCTCTGTGTTGGCAAAGGTTTGGTTGATTGGATGTACTTACATACATACAAGCTATTACTTAAACCTACTAAATATCAGTAAAAGAATCACAGTCAGGTGTTGTCATTTCCTTTTCAAGATTTTAAAGTTTTAGTTGGCCAACTACTTTCTCTCTGCCCCGCTCCTGACAAATCTATAAACTCTAGAGGCCATGGAATTAATTGCAGAGGGAACAAGAGACTGGATCGAATTTATGTTCTTACATTAGCCCCAGGATTAAGCTTTGCTTGTTTCTGCTCTCCAATCCATTACGCAGCTGCTCAATATGCAGTGAATAAGGCCAGGGCTGCTGGCATAGGTATCTGCTGATATGCATATCTGATATTCAAAATGTCCACTTGGAATGTCAATCAACCCAATCAGATCAATCACTGCGAGTAATATCATATATTCTTCTAAAACTTGATGGTTCTAGCTCACAGTACTGAGTGTGCAGTGTCAGCATTTTGTTTTCAAGTATTAAAAACAAAGTGCACTGATGTAAGCAAGCATGCCGTGTCTATGATCGTACTAAGGGTGCTATGTAAGGACAGAGTAAAGCCGATGGAAATGGTTCAGAAGAGACTTAACACAAAACAAGGTTTCAGTAACAGCTTTGCAATCACAAGTGGCTAACAGTGTGATCGATGGGGGATAGCTAGGATACATACTTTCCCACAATCATCTGGACCTGGTGCTGGACCTCTGCCCGGACATTAGCTGTGATGTTGGTGGCCAGCTGATCGGTGGAGTTTTGGAAACTGTCGATCATCTGCTGGAGCTGGCCAATCATGGGGTCCCGTGTCTCCTGCTCTTTCTGCTTTCTGTTCTTCATGTGGCTCTCAAGCTGCTGGATGTCTACAAAGATGACAGTCAGCAAAAAATCAGTTCTCCCCCTCAAACAAGCAAAACACATCATGGATATGACTCAAAACTACATAAGCAATATTTTCGACCAACAAGTGGCCCTTTCTAAGCTAAGACAAGCTGAGCAAACCTTCCAAGCACAAAAAGCCAAATGCATGGCGGTGAAGAAAGTAGAGTATCTAACATCCAAATAGGAGGAAATTGGAGTTACATTTACCATGATGCCAGAAACAAAACTCCAGTGGGATGCCCATATGTTAAATGTCAATAGGCCGTTGGTTGAGTCCTAACAATTCAATAAGATGATATATCAGGGATGGTTTTCTGTGACTTTTGAAGACTATTTTTTCTTCATACTGATCAAAAACTGCAACAATACTTTGTCAACTCCCATTTTCCTCATGTATTAACGATATAGGCCTCACCTCTCGTGCTAGTGGTTTAAAGAATAGATGGCTATATGTAGTGCTGAAAAATATACCGGTTGAACATTGCACTGCATAGAGGTTATAAAAATGTAATTGTAACCATTTTTCCCCAAAGCATTCTTAACCCTGTCCCCTGGTTTCAATAATATATCCTCTAAACAAGAGAATTCTGTACTTCTATTTATTGTAATTAGACACTGATGCACTACGAAACTGAGGGTTTATAAGAAAGCAGTCTTTAGTGCTCCGTTTAACCTAGCCACGATTTTGTTTACTAAGCCTGCTCTCAACCCAAAATATTTGCTTCAATATATAGCTTTACATTCAACACCCACCCATGAATACGACAAATTAGGGGACGCACGTGGAAGTGTAATAATATATCGATACATCATGCAGTATCAAACACCATGCACCAACAACAAGTAGACACTCTGCGTATAAATGACACAGCTCAAGGCTTGCACTTTAACTACATTGCAATGTGGATGATAGTGCAGCATTCACAAGTTACAGGCAATATTTACACACAAAAACAGTGAAGCCCAAATTTGATCATGGATTAAATTTAAATTGGAACAAGCTCATAAGAGCACACTTGCTCAGAGTGGTACCGTGGCCTCCCTATTTACTGTGTGCGTCTCCCCTCTGTACACAGTGTATGCAGCCTTGGTAAATTTGAAAAAACATCTAGCTGCCAGCTTCCAGAGGGGGGCAAAAGCACAATCTCAGAATAAATAGACTGCTTATTAACACATCAGTGGCCTGGCTCAGTCTGAAAAGGCATTACAAAAGCTGTCCCTGAGCTTTTTTGAAAAAGATGGTTATTAAATTAGACTTCCAGATAAACAGACCCTGATTTCAGAGCTAGATTCAGGAAACAACAAGCATGAAGAGAATAGCAACACAAAGTGTCTCAATAAGGACACCAGCCATTGAGTCAAGTACAAATGACTAATCTGACCTTGAGTTGCGTGAGGTCTTTCTAGATCATATATTAATATCTCCAATATTTATTTCCTGACAAAACCACAGTTGATGTTCAGTAAGATTGCCTTACATTCTTGTGTGCCTTGTTTGAAGCTGTCGTTGATTTGCTGAAACATGGACTGGCAGCCTCTTTCAAAAACCGGCAGCACGATGCTCTGGAAGGCGTCTTTATAGGCTGCCTGGATAGTTCCCTGCAACGCTTCAGCTGCTGCTCGACCAATTGCATCCGTTGTGTTCTGTAAACAGGCAGCGGGTTCAGTGAGAAGGAAAGGAGAGGGCAGGTGATGCTATGAAAACTTAGGATAAAGTCCGGATAGAGGGGCTGCCACTCACCTTTGATTTTACTACCTTGCTGACATTGTCCTTCAGGGTGACCTCCACAGCGGTCAATTTAGCAGCAATTGTATTGTTCAGCTGACCTGTCACTGGCTCCAGACTCTTAGAGATTGCTAGAGGGGAGAGAATTAGCAGGACAGATTAGCAAGAACTCCCCTATAATTAGGCATGAGATCAAGGTGGCAGGAAAAAAAGACAGGAACATCTCATCCTCGAATTACAGGGCAGGAGAGGCGAGGCAAGAAAAACATTTCTCCAAAGACTGCTTAATTTTAGTGTCGCAGTCCAACACACCTCATCTGCCTTTATTGTATCTAATTCATCTTATGCCTAGGATGATCTCAAGCATTAAGAGAACACTGTAATTTACTGATGTACAGCCTAGTGTGCTCTTCGTCCATTTTTCCACTTTTTGCTGCAATAAAAAAATATTGCAGTGAAGATAAAAAAAAGAAAACTAAATACAGTAAGTAGACCAGATTTACTTGAACTCAAGGGCCTGGCAAGTGCTATGAGGACTGATACTGAGCTTATTAAGTCAATAGCAAATTGGCCATTACATGACCAATCCACATTAAACAGTCTTTCAGCTATCTGTTACATCTAGTCAGTCACAGTGGGCCGCCCAGTCAGTTTAATTCCACAGCAAACCCTGACTTCACAAAGCACGCAGGACTCCAAAGATTACAATACCTGACACAGTAAGGTATACACAATTCACATTTGACAAAAAGACAGCACTGAAATCAGAACTGTACTCAATATCGGCAAGTGTGGTATTAGCCAGTCAATGGTGAGAACTTAAAAGACAAGTTATTCTGTTCATAAAACCTCACAGCTGTTTTGCTGCAAAATGCCTCAATCAACAGTGAATGTAAAATGTGCCTGTAACTGAGTAGAGAGAGCTGGCTGAGCTGCAAGATAAAATAAATCAATAAATATGTACTGCTTATACTATAAACTTTAGAACTAAAGAAAAGGAGATCCTGAAGCAAGCATACATTTGCAAACAGATGGTGGAAAAGACTAGAGAGAGAAGCCAAAGACGGGAGATGGGAGACACCAGTGTGCAAAAGACTTAAAATCTTCCTCGTCTGCAGATGGCAAACAGCAGAAGTGGTGCAATACCACCATCATCTGGTAACAAGTGTGCCTGACAAACAGTTCAACCCTCTGACTCTGGCATTTTGTTCTCAGTGATGTGTGCTTCTTACTTTGTGGGACCGTTTTCTTCATTTCGTCTCGCAGCACTTTGTCCATTCTGTTGGTTAACACCGAGCTGAGGGTGTGGCTGAGCTGCTGGCTGAGTTGTTCCTGAAGCTGCTGCTGATGATTCTGACTCTCTGCCAGAACTCGCTCTAGTCTGCGCTCTGAGGTCATGAAATGTCAAGGCTCACAAGAATAGGATGTGGAGGGCTCATCATTAAGGCCTGCATGCGTGCGGTTGTAACAACTTTGAGGGGGGATTCAGAAAAAGACGTGCTCTGAATATCATTCTGTATACACAACCTTTTTGTGTCCTTAGGTGGCCTATTGTATCCACTTCAACAGTGGCATTACAGTTTTTAACAGTTGTTCAGTAAGCCTAGGGTACAGTGCAGGCTCGGGTTTTTGCAGAAAGTTTCACAGGTAGTAGAAATGCTAAATGAACAAACTATCTAAAAAAGGTCAGCACGTAAGAAAAAAGACTGGAGGATACGTTCTTGTTCCTGGTGGTTGTTCAGGACGTGCTCTACCTGAGCCATAATGGAGCTCTGCATAGCTTCTATCTGTCCACGCAGTTCAGTTAACTCCCTCTGCTGGCCACGCAGGAGCATCAACAACTCATCCTGTACTTCTGCACTCATCTATGGGCGGGATGCAGACAATGATTGGAAAAGGAGACAAAGTGGACCAACGGAATGTGCAGCGGAAATATATGAAATACACTTAAATTCATTTTTTTCCATTTCACATTCTAACATATTAGAAATAGAACTTTATTAACTGTTGGCTAAGTATCTGCAGACTTAATGGTTTAAGTTAGATTCAATGTGTTTTTATTTAAAAATACATTTGCTTTCCAATTATAGTATCACTGTGGTAAGTTAATGAATACAAAAGAAGCTAAACAATATGCAGACTGATTTGTGATCCCCTTACCTGCCCAGAGTCCATTTGCCTGGACTGAGACGATTCACTGAGGAGAAAAGAGAAAGAAGCCTTATACAACTGCTTGTTTATGTTCATCTGTGTCTGTATGTCCTCGTACTTGATATACTTTTGTATGTCACAGCTTTTTCAAACAGAGAGCCAAACTGGTTCACAAGTAAAAACTTCTTATTATTGGAGTTGAAGAAGCCAATTAATTATAGCCAAATAATCCACTAAATACAATTACAAAGTATCTGGAGCTACAAAGACATTTTATCCTGGTTGTGTCCATAAAACCTCAGCTGCTGACCTTTAACTTAATAAGTTATACTGAATGAAGTCAAGAGATGGATTGAGAGCATGCTTTCTTTATGTTATGGAGCAGTGGAAATAAAATTACACTCAACAGAAGTCTAACAGTAATTTTAGTGTGACTAATAACCTGCCTCGTCAGTCAACAACCTACATTATGATGGAGCCTAATCAAGCCTGGGTGACTGCCAGACAATCTCCTAACACACACACACACACACACAGCTGCAGTATAAGAGTGTCCAAAAAACACAATTTAAGCCAGATTTGATTTTCTATGCAAGAAAAAAAAAAGCCACTAATTTGTAGAAATATTTTTTACATTGAAGAATGGATGAAATTAGATGTATGGTAAAAAGACTGATTCAGTGTTGTAAAACAATTAAATAAGTTTAACAGACACTGTACATATTTGTATTCCTATTGATTGGCCTCTGGCCTACATTGCAAGATTTTTCTCAGTAATTATTTTCCAAATTAAAGTCAAAGTCATGAACACTTTTTCCAACTACACACCCAAAAATGTATGCACCCCCCATCTCCTATAAAATATCAACATACCTGTCATCTTTCTTGGTCTTCCTCTTTAGTTTTGGAGAGCCTCGTGGTGAGGTCTTCCAGTCCTTGACAGGTAGTCTGTGAGAAGAGCGACTGCCACAATTCCCTGAGGAGGATGCCAGGCTGGCCACCTCATCATCAGGGTCACTGGGTCAGACACAGAAATGTACAGATACACACACAGTTAAACCGCTGCTGTAGTCTACGTAGAAGAGTGTATGCCACATGCTCTGGAATCATCTTGGAAAAAGGACATTGTGCCTTAAATTCAAAACTGAATTTGTTGTGCCTGGTTTTGTGATGTCTTCTGCCTAGGACGACACCAGAGATGTCTCTGTTTATTTGCATTAACATGTAGACGGTGTGTCAAATTGTGTTACCTCTGCTCTGCGCCAGCATCCTGACTGTCATTCTGTGTGAGGTGATAGGAGCGTCGATGGTAAGGTGAGCTCAAGTGTCTGTCCTTCGACTCCTCTCTTGAACTACAACAGTAGAAATGTGTGAAATGTGACACAAACCTCTTTTTGATAAGTATATCTTGTACTGCTTTTACAATTTCAACATATATGAAAGATAACCTGACTTGGTCATATTGTCAATGCCATAGCTTTGCTTTACGCTTGCAAAACGTGTGCAGTGGTTTGTCTATGTTCATGTGTGGCTACGTGTCAAGGTAGTTGACATACTTTTGAGCGAAACTAGTAAAAAAAAAAAAACACCAATTGTTACAATCCTACAAAAAGTCAATGAGTGCCTGAAACACAAATCCAATTATGTGTTTTACTTTTATACAAGTTATATTTTACATACCATATTTTATTAGTGGGAATTCTTACCAGTCTCCAAGACCATTATCCCTTAGACTGTTCCTGGTTTCTCTGGTGATGTCAGGCGCTGCTGGCCATGGTGTGTGGCTGACACTACCATCTGAGGACCCTCCTCCAACTCCAGGGTTCTCCTGTGATAAGGCGTTCTCAAGTAGAGATGGGGTGTGGCTGAGTCTGGGCTCTGACTCTACTGCCCCGCCCACTGGCCCGTCTGCACCTCCGAGTTCGAGGGACAACAGGCTGAGACAGAAAACACAGTCGTTTTTTTAGTTTAAAAGGCCCATCCTGGTGTTTCTCCAAGAATTTCTGTATGCTTTAAATTTAATTTGTTAATAAACATTTTTCAATGCATACTTGTCTGACAATGAATTTTTATACTGTGCTTCGGCTTCAGAGTTGTGTATTCACTGTGACAATTAAGTCAGCCTTCAGTTTTTTGAAAGTTATGTCAGCATTGCTTGTAATCAACGTACCTGTTGTTGTTGGCTGTGCGTGGTGAGGTGAGTAGGTGCAGGGCAGATGCAGCAGAGGCCATGCTGTCTGTCTGAAGAGCAGAAAGAGGTAAGGGCTCCAAGCTGGACACTAGACCACGCTGAAGCAGCAGGGTCTGCGATGCAATCTCTGGCATGTCCTGGGACATGGCCGTGGAGGCTGAGGAGATGACGTCAGGGGAGCGGGCCCTGGTCGGAGAAGCCATAGGTGGCAGGAGGGGAGAATCCAGAACCTGAGGGTTGTCGAGTGCGAGAGGACCAGTAGGGGATGCCAAAGCCTGGAGGTGGAGATGAGAAGGGTAAGGAAAAAAAGATCATGCCATTCAAAGTATTAAGAGGCTGGTAGAAGTCGGAGAGAGTGCCAGGTCCTACCTGTAGGTTCTCCAGTCCAGGCAGCAGCACAGCAGAAGCAGCCCGAGGGCTGCTGGTGGAGAGTGTCAGACTACTGCTGCTGCTGTTGTTCTCTACTCTGTTAGGACTCTGACTGACATCGTCTATTGCTCTGCACATGGTAAAAGACACAGACATACTGTACTCAGGGATACATGTTCACATGTGTAAGCAGAAGAGCAAGACATTATGTGATATTATGTAAAATTAACAGAGGAAGACAGAAGCTATGATATGATAGATATGTAGCAATGGTCAATAATAAGTCAAGCATACTATTGCTAACATTAAAGAAATAGCCATGCACAAAAAAACTGTACTGAGTAAATTATGTCTATGGAACTGGAACATTAAAGAAGAAGAAGTTTTGCAGTTGTGCACTGCTGTAAACCAGTTCTGCAACAACCCATATATCCATTTTCAAACTAGAATGACTCCAAACACATACAGTAGAATAAGGACAGACATGAGAGGTTTTCATATTACTACATAGAAAAGGTCACCTGTTAGTTGAGTCAGAGTTGCTGCTGATTGCGGTCACGATGGTCAGACTGCTGGCACTGCTGCCAGGAGATGCAGGTACCTTGAGGGTGATAAAAAAAAAACATGACCTGCAGCAAATATAATGGATTTGGAAAATCACGACTAAATGATTAAAAAAAAAAAAAAAAAATACACAGTTGCTACATTTATATTTTGCATTATTTTGCTTTCCATACTTTCTGATGTTTGTTAGTACATTTAGCATGAAATCACATAAATTTAGAAACTGAATAAAACGACATGCAGATAACTGGGATGGGTCACATCACAACCAAAATCTCATGACAGACACATCAATGCAAAAAGCCTTCAAAAGACAGAATAATTCACACATAGCTGGAACTACTAATAGATGGAACCCTACTTTATCTTTGACTGTCTGAGTTTTACCTTCATGTAAACTCAAACAGCCAAAGATAAAGCTATAAAGGTATTCGGTATAAACAGGGCTGTGGGCTTGTGTCTGCCGAATGCCGGTAGCAGCACTCCACCAATACGTGGGAGAAGGTGCTATTCATGGGTTGAGACGTTGCTAGGCGACAAAAAAATATTTGACGCATGGGGTCGTTTTGCTGAAGCGTGTTTGACTATTTTGTAAACTGGAGTTTAAGTCAGACATCAACTAAACCAAATAGCAGACAAATAATTAAAGAAGAGTAGCAGTTTGAAAGGCTCATGAGTGTTCCTACCGAAGTGCTTGGTGTCATGAAGGCATCGGGAGTCATCAGCTTGGGCATCGTCCCGCTGCTCGCAGGCGAGTTTGACAGGAAGTCAGCGGGTGCAGGAAGCGATGGGATCTTTCTTAGGTCTGTCTGGGAGCCACTTCCTGATTCCTTGTCAGAGCTCTGGTCAGTGAGATGATCTGAAAACCCTGCTGAACACGCAAAATGTAAAGAGTGTTTCAGTTCTGTAACAGTATTTGACATACAAAGAAAGCTATAGGAAACATGTAGAGCAAAAGAAATCAACATTGAACTCTGAACTCTTAATTGTGGCTTACCAAAACCATCCTGAGAATCAGAATGGGGCAAGAAGACTGCAGAGCTGGAACATAAGTTGGGCTGAAACCAGATCTGGACGTCCTGCAGACTCCTGAACAGCACACAGACACAAATGTAAGATTATTAGGACGTATGCTCGTTGCGTGCTTTCAAACCTGCCACATGCCTCTCAAAACTTCACTTTTTGGTGGGATAGTAATCTAATATGATGACAAATACCATGATACACGATTGCTATATGATCTTTTTTTCTCCCTATCATTGAAAAATCTATTAAATCATGATGATGTGACATTTTTAGCATCTGTAACAGACAATTTACATCTGGGGAAGAGGATTTGTAGGTCAGGGTATCTCTGCAGCACTACAGTACTTCATTATAATGCTGTTTGTCACACAGCAGAAATAAACATGTTTATAGCCTGGTACAAGGCTTTGGTTTCTATATCGCATTCATGTATGTATGTATGTATGTATGTATTATATTAAGGCTTAAAGTTATGCATAATTAAGGGAACAGCCGCTCTGACTGACAGATGGGTGCCGTCACAGGTGGATGGTCTCCACAACCAGGCATCATTTGGTCACCTCAGCTCTACGCATGCTTCACGTCTTTGTCCATTTTTGGATTAGCTGGGAGCCTTAAGGCTTTACTCTAATCTACTCAAGATGGTGACGGCCAGAGGGAACCACACTGAGCTTCACAATGGCATTTCAGAAACCTATGGGTGACGTCATGAAGACTACATCCATTTTCAATTATACAGTCTATGTTCTTGACACAAAAAGTACTGGCTGGAATGGCTGGAATAACAAGTTAATGTTAACGTGTAGCTTTGTCAGAGCCACTTTGTTTGTTTACCTTTCACACATACACAGAGCAGAAAGCTAGCAGACCATGAGTCACTGAATTTGAAAAAAATTAAACCAATTTAAAACACGTCTTATTTTCTCTAGCGTACATTTATTATTGCCCCATTGCTAGTTTTGCTTTAACAAATAATTTCTTATCTAATGAATCAATTAATTGCTGGAATAATCAGCAAATAATTATAGGTACTCGATTACTTAATGAATTGATCGCTGCAGCCCTGCATTACAGCTCTATTCTCTTCTTATTCTACTCAAGCCAATATGATATTAACACTGACATCACACAGTGAGAGGAAACTTACTTGGTGTGAACGCAGTAGAGTTTAATTTGGATCCCAGACTTGGACTCTGTGGGTCCTTGAGTGCCCTCTGAAAGAAAACACACACACAAAGTAATGCTGTGTTAATCAGAATCAATGCTGCTACATATTTATTGCCCCCTTTTCATTTAGCAGTGTTCTCAAAAAGTCCCCACATTAAATAAATAAATAAATTGCCTTGCTTGCTCATGTGTGTGCAGCCCTTGGAATATCTAATAACTTGACCAAGAACATGCTTTATACTGATAGAAAGAAGATTTAACAGAAAATATCAAAAGTCAACAGGAGAGGAAAAAATGTGTGTGCACATACACACCTGTTGTCAGGCTCTCGCTCTCCTCCTCTGCAGGGAGGACCTCAGTGTGTCGCAATCGGCTGTGGGAGACATCCCGGACCCCAAAGCTGAGTACAGGGTGGGTCAGCAGGAACTCTGATACCGCTGTGAAAGTGGCCTTGCCTTTCTCCAGGTCCTGCCGCAGCTCCATGACATACAGGACCTGGTAAATAAGGACATCAGCAAAGTATAAAGCTAGGCGCAGGCTGAAGCGGTAAGGTGGGTTCAAGGAAAATTGTTTGGTCCAGATACCAAGTCCAACACTTCAAAAATAATGGTCAGTTTCACAGACAGACTGAACACAGTTCTAAAGAGAAGAACTCAAACTGTCTCTCTGATATCTGGTATAGCCCAAGATTTTATTTAATTACTGTCTAAATGTGTTAGTGTTTCTGTTAGTCAATAGTGACACTGAGCAATATATAAGTGACTTAAAAGTCAAAATGTTTTAAATTTAAATCTCTATTAAAAGGGACAAAATAAGCAGTTGAGCAATATTATTTGTGAACATTACTTAAACCAGACAGCTGACATTGTGCTGACCTTTCTCTGTACGTCAGTGAGGATGAGATACTCAGCAGCAAGGTCCAGACTGGCCTTCAGATTTGGCAGAACTGATGAGTTGAACAGATCTGGAGAAAACCTAAAAAGAAACACACCATTGTAAGGTCATGCCATTAAGTAAGGCTATGCTTTACTCCACAGGACACAGTGCAGAAAGAGAATTTAAACGTCTAATGATGGGCAAAGCAATGACCTAATTGTCTGTAAACAGGTCCAGGAAACTGTGCACCACATTTTCAACTCCTGGTTCTGATCCGCTCCAGTTATCAGGAACCGCCAGAAAGGAACCCTACGAAGAGCAAAGTGGAAGGGACAAGAGGTGACAAAGGAGAGGAGAAAAAGAAACCAATTCAAATTCAAATGGCAAGAGCCTCAGATGAATATACTGTATACATGTCACAATTTTCACTGAAAGCTGTGGGTGCACCGGTGTGTACTAACTCTGGGTCCTGCCTCTTGTGGTTGTCACAGAAGAGAAGGCAGGAGAGGGGACGTCCTCCGTGAGGCCGCAATTCATGAAGACATCTGGATGACAGAGTAAAGAAAAGTGAAACAAAAGACAGGAAAACCACAATCACAGACAAAAGATCAAAGAGAGACACACTACGTCATGGACCACATTATATTTCCTTCAGAAATTTTGACTATTTTTATTTTTTAAAAATTTGCATTTCAATGACATGATAAAGTGTAAGTAAATGGAAGGGTACACCCTCCTTGCTTACCTTGGCTTGTCCTGTACCCCTTCTATGTATATCTGCCAGAACTTGATATATCCATCATGACTGGCAGTGGCTAACACGGTTCCATCTGGAGACAGGGCACCTTCACTGACTCGCTGGAGGGGCACATGAAACAACATACACAATCAGTACTGCAAGGAATCTACGTAACAAACCCAAATCAAAGCATACCACTTTCCCTTTCGTTACTCTGGTTTAGTTTAAATAATGAAAATATCTAGCATCTTTAGCAATGAACAAAGTTCCGCGTATTTCAGTAGCAGAAAATCACCATTTAACTATAGTGCACTGAATACTTGACAAGTTAAAAGGACCAGTAGGTAGGATTTAGTGGCATTTAGTGGTGAAGTTGCAGATTGCAACCAACTGAATACTGCTCGCCTTTCGAACTTGCAGGAGAACCTTTAGTGCTCAAAAAACTCGCAAAAAAAGGCAAAGGGCCCTATCTAGAGCCAGTGTTTGGTTTGTCTTTTCTGGGCTACTGTAGAAACATGGTGGTTCAACATGGCAGACTTTGTAGAAGAGGACCCACTCCCTCTGTAAGTAAAAACTATTCTGATTTTCAGGTGATTATACACTAATGAAAACATAGTTTAATACTATATTCCTTTTCTGACAATAGATCCTCCTTACACACTCGACCTTCAAGTAGTATTCAACATTATGCAAGAATTCATATAGTCCTGACCCCTACCTGGGTATGTCCCTTGACTGTGATGAGGCCTTCTTTTAGGTCTGTGGCTTCGATGGGCCAACTGCTGTTGGCTCTCAGGACTTCCAGGTCCCACACTTCAGCCTAGATGGAAAGCACAATAAAATAAGGGATGCAAAGTTCCCACTGTTTTCTCCCTCCTGATGTGATTCTGACGCATAAACACAGGGAGTATTTGTCTGATACCAGTGTTCTTTGTTAAGAAGAAAGTGTTTGACATGAGACTTTAAACACACATTACTTTTTAACTACTGTATATGTGGAGATGTATATAACAAGTGTATTCTTTTCATGCATGTGCAAATTCTTATGTTTAAAGTACAAAATCGAAAGAAAAACATAGATACCCTGTCTTCGTGTAGAAGGGCTAAGGTCTGGCTGGTGTCATCCTGGTTTTCTTCATTGTCATCCTGGATGTACGGGCACCAGATGAGGCGACGGTGGGAGTTCAGTGGAGTGTCCTCTGGGCGTCGGACATGAACTACCACCTGATCACTGTAGGCAGGGTGGGTTACGGAATTTTTTGACTGATTTGCTTTGGTGATTACTATACTTAAGCGGGCTGTAATATCACAGGAGCTTGTGTACAATCACAAGGCACTTTGGGTTGCTCAGTGTGAATATTTAAACTTAAAGGTACACACAGAAATAAGATGAAATAAACAGACAGGTACACACAGGCCTGCTCGTTCTCCCACACACTCCACTTTAGTTTCTCCCACATGTCAGGATACAGTATCTTGCTTCCAGTGCAGGTGAGCTGCCAGACCATCAGGTTGCCCGCTTCATCTACACAACCCAACATGGAGGAGTCGAGGTGGGCAAAAGCCAGGTCTGTGACGGCTCCAGTGAAGCCCTTCAGGAGGGAGCGCTCACCAAAACCCACACTCAGCACACGAATCATTGCATGGTTGTTGGCGCCTGAGGGAGGAGATGTTGATTTTAAATTTAACTATTAACTTGTAGTATGATCTTATCATGCTATATCAAAATGTCTGTTTAAGGGGGCGCACCTGTACTTCACTGGGTAGAGCACGTACCACAAACAACAAACTAAATCAAATAAAATATAAATATATATAAAAGTTAGGGATGCACGATATATCGGCATTAATATCGGTATCGGCCGATGTTCGTCATTTTTGGTTAGACGATATTCTGTGCATGCGCCGATGAGTAAGGATTGCGGCCGGAGTATCCGATCAAAGACCGATTGTATATCCGGTGCTAGTTTGCTGTTCGTGGGTGTGTCGGAGAGGAGGAAGGAGGGGAGGTTGGATTTGGCCATGTGTATGTTGTTTGAGACGCGACGTGAGTGGCCAGCAGCGAGGGTGGGATGTTAAACTGAAGAGGTAGAAAAAGATTGGCAGCGGTGTGGGGCCGTTTTTCACGGTGTCAAAAGGAAGGACAGCTCGAAAAGCAGTTAGTGCGAACACCATGCAGCAGTCGAGGGTTAATGCGAGGGCGGATGCCGCGTCAAGTCATTCAGACACCAGCAATGTGGGTGAATAGTGTCCTGTTCAGGGTTTTCCTCGTATGTGTGATGGGTTTGGGAGCGGCGGCCCGCTGCGGTGTTGAAGTTTCTTGCGGCGGCACGGTATCAGAAATGGGGCAGACGGTGGAGTCGCGGTTGCCTTGTTTAAATGATTGCCTGCCGAGCATATATGCAGCCCCGTTGGCTGGCCGCTCACATTTGCGAATTTAAGCAGTAGAACTATTCAGAGGTTATTGGGGCTGTCCACTTTAACTCCACATACTGTTGTGTTGATGGAGCTTATTGTCAAAACGTTCGCTTTCTACCAAGTCGACTGGGTTGAAGACTAGTCAGCTCCACCAAAAGTACGTTCACCTGCGGTGGGTCCGTTTTAAGGTTGGGGACAGGCGTTCAAGGCTTGTGGCAGGTTCTCAGGTGGCTCAACGGGTAAGTAGGTCGTTAATCGGGCGCGATGAACGGGCAAAGATGTGTGATATCGGATACGTCGGGGTAGTTCGGGCCAAGGAATGTTTCATATCGGTGCATCCCTAATAAATATAAATAACAGACAAGGACTCTCACCTCTGATGGCATAGGCCACGAAGGAGTTGGACACAGCTATCAGTCTGCCATAATAATACTTGTGTTCCCAGTCATACTTGGCAACCGGTTGGATCTTCACCTGAATGAAAAACAAATTCACCAATCAAAATTAATTCATACTCATCATGACCTTTTTAACCACGAGGCTGCGGTCTTGAAGAGCCAAAGCCAGGCCATTTAAAATGAAGCACTAAACTCATAAAAACGTTTAATTCTGTGATAACATACTGTATATTGTTATAAAAACCAAGTCTTTTCCATTTTAGGGTTTCAGGGATCAGAAAAAGCACAGCAGCTTGTCCCTTATACGAGAGCAGGCTCTTAATCCTGTCTTGATTTGTTGGTGCTTAAGCTTTCCAAATTTTTGTCGTGCTGATTTATACACTCAACGGACGGTGTCATATCACTACTAATGATGTGGCTTCTTACCTTGTTGCTGCCACGAGCCTTACTGTTGATGCTGGAATCTTGACTCGCCACAATCTCCACATTGTTGGAGGTGATGGGGATACAAGTGGAGCCATCGTCACCAGAAAGGCAGCTGAAATCGTAGCACACACATTTAAGTTAAATGAAGTTAAATATTGATTTAGTTTCTGAAAAACATTAAGTGCTTACAAAAATGTCTCTGAATTGTTTCCTAATTATATTCAAATAGAAGCGATGCATCTTTTTGTGTTTATGCTCCGTGTGACAAAGTCAGCCAAACTGCAGAGTTGCGCAAGCGACTGATTTTAAGAATCTACTCACATTATCTGAGTCTCCTGAGCGCTGCTGAGGTCTGTGGAGATGGGTCTGGTGGATTCTGACATGGCTGACCGATCAGTGCTTCCTAGAAGGCCTGCTGCTCCCAAGAGCCCATTTAGCTCTCCATTAAAAGATGGCATTCTAGGACCGTCACTTGATTGTGTATCTGAGAAAAGACATCGAATGCAGCTGTTAGGGGACACACTCTTCAAAGCCAGCGAGGAAAGGGGTACAGTAATGTTTGTTCTACAGGTTTCTTATTGGATTCTTTTGACAGCTCTCACAGCCTATACACAATCATGTAACCAACTCAAGTGACTAGGAGATATCAATTGTTTTATAGTTAAAATAATATCATTGTACTTGAAAGTCAGAATTTCCAATTTTGTGATATTTAAAAAGCCCCTATTGGATTATATTAATATTCCAGGGAGAGGGTTATTAAATATTTGCCTTACTTTCAGTAAAGTAAAATACCAAGGGGTTCTTTAATTTCATAATATTCTAACTGTTATTAAATTGTTTAACTAGAGTTTTATTTCATATACTCACTTATTTGGAGTCACAAATCACTATAAAGAAAAGGCTCCTTCTATACATCTGTTGATATGATTGTACAGTAAGGAGAACGGTGTCTGCAAGACGCTAATCACACCAGTCTCCCTTGCAGACCCCAATCACCCCCCTCTTTCTGTAGCATAGTGTTTTCTTCACAATCATCCATCGGACCAAGGAAATCACAGGTGGAACTGTTAACATGAATAATGATTGCATTCAATTTATGTTTAGCAGTTCCAACGGCCTGCTCGTGTGCTCGCTGGTTAACAGCCGTTACTTACTGGGACACCTCAGTCAAACACAGCCATGGTTAATGTTATTAATTACACCTGTTATTTACCTTTAAGGACAAGTCCAAATGCATGCTGTGAAAACTATCTACAGGCATCAAGAAGGAAAGCCATGTGAGTAGTTTACAGCTGTCTGTCCAAAAGAATTTGCTATGGAATAAACTAAATAACCACCAAAGAATTTAATAATCCTATTAATTATTAAAGTCCCCCTCCACTCTTTAATCAGTGTTTCCTCTTGTCCCTACAGTGTGCTGTGTGAATGCTGTCTGATGTACAGTTGACACTAGAAGATGTTTTCACATTCATCTGCTAAAGTAGAAAGTTTCTCTGGTGCTCTTGATACATCTGATTTAATCACAAATAAGGTGTGAAGTCAGTCCTGGTCCAGGTATGCAACTATGTACAGATGTGATGTAGAAACTTGAAGCCACCAGTGCACATCCACTGAGAATATAATATATATAATATGTCTTAATACTGTACCTGTGTGGAGGAGTTCTTCAATAATCTCTCTACCAAATATTCCAAGAACAATAGGTACAGGAGCAGGACATTGTCCTGTCCAATCTCACATATAGCTTGAAAACAGTTACCAACACCTTTAATCACACAATAAGAAAATGATAAAGTACAAGTACCTTACTTCTGTCTGTATATTATTTATGTATCAAATGTCTCTACTCCTATAAACATGTAGCATTAGTTAAACGTGTATGTGTACGGGTGTACAATATGCAAATCAAAGGTAAGTAACTTCAGTACATGAGCATGATGATGAAGATACTCTGTACTTTCTTTTTCTCCAACTTCCCTAAAGCCGGTAGTGTCTTCATTGGTAACCTTGATCATTTTGACAGATGCCAGTTTTTAAAATGGTCGAGTATTACTAGTTTGAAGGTTTCCAAAACAAACCTGGAATGAGTGTGTCCACATTAGCTAAGAACAACGACCTTCTACGCAGTTAGTGAGGCTCAAGCTAATACTTGATAGCAGTCAAATATGTCTGGCTCAAAGATGCGGTGTGAATCTCTTTAAAGCGTGATATTTTTATATTTAAAGATCCATAAAGTAGGTGCAAAGTTACTGAGATAATGTCGAATAAACGAAAGATTGTTGTTCTACTTTATCGTCGCTTGACAGCAAAAGACCCAGCTTGACTACACCAGAAAATAGACAGAGACATAAGCTAACTGTAGCTCATAACGTAGCTAACACTCAGATAATAAAACACAAGAGACCTTTCCGACGCAGTTAGCGCTTTGACCTGAACACATTCGTTGCTCCGCCGTAATTACTCAGAAAATAGCACATGTGTGAATTCATTGATATCTAAATTGTGCTTTCACGCAACGAGTCCTTTTAGTTAACAGGTAGTGAAACTGCTATTGAGCTAACTTTACTCCAGCACAGCAGCGCGCTAACTCACGGTAAGCTAGGTACCAATTTAGCTAGCTAGCTAGCTAGCATCCCATTAGCTGCTGCGGCCTAAACTACCGCAGCAGCTCTTCAGTCCCGGTCCAACTTACCGGTGCCGTTCCCGGGACGGTCGAGCTTGAGTATGTCCCGGAGATGCTGGGTCGCACCCTCAATGTCCATGTTAGAATTGGACGCCATGTGTGAGGGAAAGGGGAGACTGGGTTAATAAAGGGGGAGAGAATGATTTCTTATTTGATGCGATGCTGTCAATGTTCCCTTCGTTCACCCAGAGCAACCGTCTAAACTTCCGCTTTGTCCGCGCCGCAGCCTCCGACTCATGTCTGTGTCCGGTCATTGGTTCCTACCTCAACTTCTAATGAGGTTCAGGCATATTGTACACTACCAGCAATATATCACCCTCCATAGTCAGAAACACGGTTTTTGGACATTTCGTTTGAGAGTTTTTTGTATTCATGATTTGCTCGCTTGTAATTTCAGCAGCAGCTTTATGACATACAAACCCTTTGTGTTCTGGCACTCAGAAACATCCACCTGGACAGACCTATTTCTCTTTTATCTATATGACAAAATCATAATAGAGCATGTCAGACAAAACCACTGATAACAGATTGTCATGAAATATGATTTAATCATTCATGTTGTCCTGCTAATGTTCAAATAGAGGCAAGGCGGTGTACACTGAAAAATAAGTTCAGTTTCCATTTGCTGGATTCACTCTGAATGCAGAAAGGCTCCTCACTGAGGCCTCCTAGTGGCACAGTGGGGTGCCATTACATTGGGCCCCTGCTATTACTTTGCTATCTCAATGCACTGAAGATTTGTGATGGTAAGGGTTTGAAGTTACACATTTTATCAAATATTTATTCTATCTTACCTTTTCCATTACTGGTTATTTTGGTCTTACCTGCATATATTTTGGGAAAGATCATTCTGAAAAATGTACATTACATCGCCAAGTTGTTTATATTTTTGAGTACAAATAGAAATTTCGGACATGTGGCGACAAACATCACAATTTACATTCTTGGGACAATGAAGAGCCTCAGCAAATTATCTGGAAATCCAGTTGTACATTTTGTTTAAGATGAAGTGAAAGTAACACATTTAATGGCATCATTTCAGCTACAGATTTGATTAATTATTTTATTGCTATTTCAGTTAATCAGTTTATTATTATTAAACACTGAAACCCTATTATTTATTCATTAGGCACACTCCAGACTCTATATATAGGTTCTGACTCATGAGCCGGTCAGGTGACTGGCTCCTACTTCCAGACCTGCACCAGTCTGGTGTCCTCCACCCATTGACTCTCTGAAACTCGTCGACTCTCTAAGTAACTGTTGCAGTCAGCGTGGAGAAGTCAGTGAGCAACAGCATTAGTGTGCTGCACCTTCTGAGGAAGTGATTGATCCCATGACAAGTCATTGAGAAACATTTCTTTTTTTGTTTTGAATATAGTTCAAGCCACAGGGCAGACATGAACCCATGGCCACTGCAGCAGGGACAATTACAGATCTTTGAAGCCATGCAGTCCCTAGTAGTGCCCTTTGTTGGCACTTAAGGAGGAAACCCTACTATACAAAAATACTGTGTGGTGGCAACAGTTGTAGAGAATAAACAGCAGGAACCTTTTAGTGTATTTGGTTGCAGCTATAGCTGACCAGGAGTTCACCAATCCAGCTTCTTATCTCCTGATACCCCAACTTATGTTTTCTACTGATCATTAAACCAACACCAGAGCTCTTTTCCCCTAATTTAGAACCTGTACACCTCGCTGCGTAGAACTCATTGGCCTTGTTTTTATGTCAAGGATATTGAGTGACACTTAAAGCTTGTCAGCAGCCAGTTTGGGCTAGGTACCCCCATAATGAATGTAACAAAATTACTCTTTTGAAAATAGTTAATATATATGTAATATAAATGTATATATATATATATATATATATATATATACATACATATACACACACACACACTATACTAATTAGTTACACTACTAGTTCAATTACTTCTCTGGTACTCCAGAAAAAAATTAAATCCAGTTTGTTTGTTAAAATCAAAGTAGTATGTCCAGCTGTTGAATATAAGCATGTCCATCTTCCAAACTATTTTCTCCCCGATTACAAAAATGAATCCAAGAACGTGATTAGATTATTGGATTTCAAATAGTTGCAGATGATAACAAAAGTAATGTTTGTTGTTTTTTTTTGGGGGGGGGGTATTAATATCAGTACTGAAATGTATTAATAATTAGTTACCCTACTAGTTGCTAGTTTAAGGAATATAATTACTGTAATATAATTACTAGTGATGAGTTAGTACCCAACACTGGTTGGCAGCCCCATCATGATTTTAACTCATATAGTGGAAATACAGGATTTTATAATAACATTGACAAACTGTATTTAATGTGGATCCGTCACATCTGGCTGATACACAATCAGAACTTAATAAGGTCAGTCTGAGCCAGATTACGATCCTGTGAACCCATGGCATGAGCATTTATTTGACAATTTTCTCTAGTTGATCTTCTGCGATAAGGTCACTCAAACTAATAAATTTGCAAGAAACAAAAATTGTATGAAGACTTGTGAAAAGACAAATGATGGTTTGGGAAAACAATCAGCCATAGAGAATAATATGGAGAGACAAGGCCACACCATTACGAAAAAAGTCCAGGTTTTATTGTCTATCGTGGCTGTAGTCCATGGTAACTGCCAGACTTGTGTGTGAGAGAGAAAGACAGAGATTGAGAGAGACAGAAAGAGCGATAGAGAGAGAGAGAGAGAATATGAATGATCAGAGCCAATCACACAGCAGGGTCAAACTTTATGTCCTCCATGACTCTTTGGTTTGCGAGAGCAAAACCTGGCATGAGAGAGTGAATCATGGCAAAGTAAACAATTATGTAAAGGAAGATAAAACTTAGTTAAACACACTAAGGCAACACACGGGTGTTCATCTAAAAACAACTTACAACACAAAAAGTCGGAGCTGAAGAAGCCGACTCTGAACCTGAACATGGATCTACAAACCAGTCAACAACAGTGCTAACAGAACTGAGTTGACAGCAGTGGAGTCAACAGTAGAGCACAAAGGGATAGAATTAAGTAAAGAAGGGTGGAGAGCAGAGAAGAGCATGAGTTAATGGCGTCGGTCAGCTGTTTGTCTTTCTGGTGGCTTGAGTGTAGATATTGTAATGGGGGGCTCCCAGCGTCATGCAGATCAGCGGAGTGGCAGACAGGGGCATCTGATTGGTCGGCCGGCTCGCAGCAAAGAAACATGTTGCAGTTCTACTGGCTGGGGTGGTCTGAAAACCCACCTGGATGAGGTTCAGTGATTGACATCTAGAATCCGGTGTTTGCCTGTTTGTCAAAACAGGCGTAAATGAGACAGCAGGAGGGAGGGATGAGTGTTCTCTCTTCTCTCCATCCTCAACTCCTCCCTGCCCCCCCCTCCATACTTCATCACACAGTGCCCTTCACTATGGCCGCCCCTGCCCACCAGAGCTTGGAGTGGGGTTAACCAAAGTTGTGAATGGCCAGCCTGAACATGTCATTGGTGCACACCCATGCATCGTTAATGTTCTTCAGGATGAAACTCTGATGGAAACCCATGATGGGGTCATCATCTGCCTGCAAACACACACAAACAGAGACAGCCGGGGTTCAGGACAAAGTCTGCAGTATAGTGATTCCATTTATCAGCTGTGCACATCAAAGTCAGTGTACTGGTTGTGGAGAGTACCATTTAGCCAGTGGACACAGTTATGTAATTTTTTCTGTGCCGAGTCGGAAAGAAATAATGCCAACAACGTCCCCCAAGAATTGGAGCCACAAACAGCAATTGAACCAACTAGCCGGCAGCTCCAATCAAGGCTCCAACTAATTAGTTTAACTTATTCTTGTAAACAAAGCTTACAAAGAAAACGTCTGTTTACATTCAGTGTTACTCACCAAAACACACGTATCCTTTAGGTCTAACAAACATGTTGAATACGTTTCACTCAAAACATTTGCAAAGGCCTTCCTTTTTCTAGAAAACCAACACTGATACCTGCTGCAAAACTTTTTCAACTAACAATGGTTGCTAATTGGGAATACAATTAAGGAAAAATGCCTTGGACTGCAGGAAAACAGGCTGAAGCAGACGTCATATGGACACTAAGGGAATTCCACTGCTTTTACATCTGTTTACAGGCGTTGGGGAGTACTACTTCATATGTGAAAAAAGTTGTGTAAAGAATTTGCTGCAGAAGGAACTTCATAAACTTAATTTAAAAAAAAAAACTTGACTCAAGTGATGTAATTTGAGTCGGAGTCGGTTGGGTCTGAAGACTACAAGTTTTGAAACTTTGGGGGTACGGAGTTAGAAAGAAGTGAGCTCTCCTCATGTGCTTGAGGCTACATTAGCTGCTACTAGCTTATCACATCCAAATCGCAGACCAAACTGCTGGCAGTCAAGTTGCATTGTGAGCAATATATGGGTGCCAGCTTTTTTTAAGGTTAAAGAATGACTGGAATAAAAAAGACAATATCCCTGGTTCTGCTGCATGGAGTCCAAAAGTGTGATGCTAAAATGGGAGTACTCTTAAGAAACTTAATATATTTTATCTCTTGCTTGAGTTTTTCAGCGCACAATTTCTACCCAATTCAGTGAGTGACAAAGAATAGAAGAACTGTTGAAAGTGATAATACTAACTGCCAAGACTAAACTCTAATTTTAAATGAAAGAACAGCATGGTAAGAGAAATGCTTTGAAACACAGGTACATACACAGGTTACATAATTTACTTAAAGATTCAATATGTGATGGTTTCGCTGTGAAACAGATGACAAGCTCTAAAATAGAGCGTGAATGCTACTTACTTTTAGCTGTCCTACAACCATACTCAAGATGCAGCTGTCTGGAGTCGGCTGGTGGTCCTGCGCTGTTATACTATGCGCTATTTTTGTGAAGGGGAGACTCTGACACACACATACACACACAGAGGAGAAACAGAAAGGTTAATACAAGTATATCTGACATTGACAGAAAATAAAGATTCTTACAATGTACTATTCTAATAAAAACAAGACAAGAATATATAATAAGTTTTATTCTCACTAAAAGTGAGGAAACTAGTCTCTCAGCTGAACTGTTGACCATTTGTAAAATTCTGTCCTCTCACTGCACCATCATTTCAAATGCTCTCACACAACATGCACATACAACTGCTTAAAGGGAGTAGCATATCGTAGCTTGTGTCACTAATACACTATAGTTCCAAAAGGGTTGTGCAGAAATTTGATTACTTGACTGCTGCATGTATTTTCAGATTTTACAGTAACCTGTTTACTACAGTCCATGTACATGGTTTGTACAATTCCATACATAGCCTCAGAGTAACCTGGTTTCTAATGTACTGACACTGCCGGTCTGACTCTTAATTGGGCCGCCCTCCACCTGTCAGCTCTGTAAATTGCAGTAAGTTACCAGATAAACTCACAGTGAGTTTCTCGACAATTGCTCTTTTTCCCTGGAACTGCTGTCCTTCCCACGTAAGGCATGACGCATCGATCTGTGAGGAGCAGACAGACAGACAGAGTATGAGGGAAAATAATAAACAAGAGGATGCTATTCGCAGATGAAAGTTCAATCGAAAAAGTTCAAGTTTTGAGAGTCAAAGAGAGAAGGTTTAAACTGAGGAGTTTGATGATACGTATTCATGACAGGGTTTAAAAGCTCTGATGTAGATAAAACTGGAATAAGTATCATTTGATGGTGTATGATAACCTTCTGTATAGTGCTCTAAATAAAGTACTAAATAGAAATGTCACAAAAACTGATACTTTGGTACCAAGTTGATGCCAAAGTTGTAAAAACGTGACAGTACTAGTTTTTCTATAGTACCGTAGG